TTTGGACCTGTTAGAAGAACGTTGTTTAAAGAAGTTCCCTTGAACTGAGCGCTTGAGTCGAAGACGATTCTGATTTGCTCCGGTTTACGAGGATGGTAGACTCCAAAGGATGGAAGGTACCAGCATTCTTCGCCTTCTACAAGGTCTGGTGCTGGCTCGGCATGATGGTTATCTAGAATCTTCTGCATGAATGCTAGAAAGTGATCTTGCATCTCAGGTTTGTTGCGTAGAGTTCTCTTAAGTGCAGCAAATCTGGCTAAAGCTTGTTCTCGATTGTTAGGGAGAGTAAGCCTTGGTACACGAAAGGGTAATGGAGCTACCCAACTGTTGGAGTTGTCCTTGAAGAACTCTTCATTCATAATCTTGATGAACTCCTTGTCTTCGACCGAAGGAGCAATCTTGTTGTCATCACAAGTAGTCTGGTACACTGCATCACCAAGATCCTTGTGAGAAGTGAGCTTGCAAGTAATGCCTTGGAGTGCTTGATGTGGAACTTCAGGATTGAAATCAAGTCTTTCCTTCACATAATAGTGCAATGGACATTTCATCGATCGATAGGTGTATGATCCCTCCACATTAGTTTTGTAAGAAGCTACATCCAAGAGCTTGTGAGATCGATCTAAACAAACTTCTCCTATTATCACCCATCCAAGATCAAGTTTCTGGGCATAAGGAGCATCATCTGGACCGTTACATAACTCTCTTATTTTATGAACTCTAGGAATGTCTCTCCCTAGAAGAATCAAGATCTTCGCATCCTTGCTAAGTGTAGGAATGCATTTAGCAATGTGGCTCAAATGAGGGTGATGACGTGCAACCTCAGGTGTGGGGATCTCTTCTCTGTTGTTCGGTAATTGATCACATTCGATTAGAGTAGGAAGAGGAAACTCTATGTTCTCATATTCTGATGCTACTATGAAGCCATGGGCTCTTCTTCCAGAAGTATTGACCCTTCCTGCGCATGTCTGCAGGGTATAGGACCAAGCCTCTCCACGAATGTTGAATAAGTCAAAGAATTCTGTACTTGCCAACGAGCGATTGCTCTGATCGTCGAGTATGGCATACATTTTTATAGCATTTTGTGGACATCCTTCAGGAAAAACCCTTACAAGACATATCTTGCTGCAAGACTTGCTATGAAGCTCTTCTCCACACACCTCTGTACATCTTGTGGTTACAGAGTTGGCATGTTGCTCGGTTCTCTCCCCGCCATCATCTGAGGTGGTCTTGGGGTTGCTGCCGGGTGTAGGTTTCCTTTGAACAGGTCTGAATGAAGAGCGTCCACATGCCTCGCACTGTTGCACAGGGAACATCTGATGGCGATCTTACAGTCTCTAGCGAAATGATCAGAAGATGCACAACACTTGAAACAGATATTATGTTCTTTGAGAAATGTCTTGCGTTCTTCAATAGGCTTGTCCTTAAATGCACGACATTTGGAGAGAGAATGTGGTGCATTATGAATGGGACACTGTTGATCAAGATTACTTGCCTTGGTATCTTGTAATTTAGTGTCTGTAGCCAAGACGTTGGACGTGATAGCGGTCTTCCTCACGGCAATAGGATGCCTTAAGTCCCTGAATTTACTGTTGGTGGCAATACCCTTTGAAGTAGTTGAAGGAAAGATGGTTGTATCTGGATATAGGAAGCTTGGGTCATTCTTGGTTCTTGCGATCTTCCTGACGAACTCTGCAAAATAGAAAAAGGGGGGAAAAGAAACATGGTGGTCATATTTATACTTCGATCCTACGCTAGTCCACTCTCCCTGGAGATAACTAGGTAACTTTGCTACAATAGGATTTACGCCCTGAGCAGTGTCTAAATAGCTGAGACCTGGCAAACTAGGATCTGACTTAGCAATTTCAAGTTCATGAAGGAGGTCACCTAACTCTCTAAGCCTATGATTGTCCTTAACAGAAATCTTAGGAAAGTCTTTTAGTCTCTGGAATAAGGCAGATTCAATGACTTCGGGGCTCCCATAGTCTTGTTCCAGACGTTCCCAGGCAGCATTGAGGCCTGCTTCAAAGTTATAAATGTAGACAGATTTAAGTCTCTTTACTTGTTCTGAAGATTGACGCCCCAACCACCTTATTAGTAAGTCAAGTTCTGCTTGAGGTTCAATGTCCAAGTTCTTAGTTACCGCCTTAAATGTAGATCTCCAACTCCTATAGTTCTCTGGGTGGTCGTCGAATCTAGACAGTCCAGTAGTAATTAACTCTCGCCGAATCATGTACTTGCTGAACTCTGCAATATCAACCCTTTCAGTTTTTACATCCACAGGTGATACTGATGGTGCACCATCTTGAATCATGGTTGGTAGCTGATGCTGGCTGATAGGTAGAGAGAAAGGTATTGCAGATGGGTTCAATCCAGGTAAGGGTCTGGTGTCTGAAGATCTTTGTGCGTTTGAAGTTGAAGTTAACTGTATTAAAGGAGGTATAGAGAGTTCACTCTGTAGTCTTCTGTTGTGCCCTTGTAATCTCTGTTCACATATGGTTGTGGTAGCACATGAGCTGGATAAGTTGGTACACTTAATTTTGTGGCACGCGGTAGTTGTGGAGTGTCTCTGTTGGAAGGTCCGTCTGGTTGATCAGCTTGCTTTGACGACATGTTGCCTTCTGATTGACTTGCTTGATGATTATGGGAAGAATCTCCAACTGTAGGTGGAACAGTATCATCGTGGTTCTGGGTTAAGACAAACTGTAGGGTCCTTTCAACAGGGTCTTGACAAGCAGCCAAGCTGGGACAATATGCTCCTTCTTCTTCTAAAAGGGCTTGTTCCAAGACGGATAATTCCGCTAAGGCTACTTCCTTTTCTTTATTTTTTTCTGAAGGATTTCTAGCTGAGCCTCTGATTCTGCTTGTATTCTTGCTTGAATGCGTTTAGCTTCTGCTTCGAAGGCTGCTTCCTTGCTTTTAGCTTCTGCCTTGAAGGCTGCTTCTCTTTCAGAACAGGTGGCTTGAACCTGGGCTACTGCAACCTTTTGGCGAGCTTTGAGTATTTGGTCGCTCAGTGTTGACCTTACAGAGCAGGACCGCAATGACTTAGAAGATGATTTATGATATGAGCGGGCAGATCTATTTGATTTTCCTGAGTGTCTGGAAGAAGCAGATATACAGGATGTAGTTTTCATGTAGTTGTGCTAATCTACCCTCTATCTGTGTCTTTGCTTCAAGATAAGTGTTATGTCTCTGCTGGTCAGTAGAAATAAAGTTCTTTAATTCTATTGAAGCTTCCTCTACATTGGAATGTGACAAAAGGGAAGAGTACTTTTCAGAAAGTCTTTTATAATTCTCAAATGCCTTCTTAACCCTTGAGAGGGCAGTGTTCAATTGCTCAGAATTGTTGCTAGTTTCATTACTGGCTGTTATACAACTTAAAGTTTTCTCCCATAATGCAGTCAGGTTACTGTATGTCTCTTCCTTACTTGCATCATAAGCCTCCCTTGCCTTCAAAGATGGATGAGGGGCTCTAACAGGACGGGCAGAATGCAGCATGGTGTCTGTTTTATCTTATCTTTTTATCTTTTGTCTATTTTATCCATAATTACATGCAGGTGACTCATAAGTGGGATCTTTGTCAGACATAATGACAAGTGCTGTAGTTTTAGTGTCTTGTTGGAAATCTGCAGAAACTCAGCTCTGTAAGTAGTTACTTTTATTTGCAAGCAGGCTGAGCTGGGGAGCTGAATATTTGTAGCAATGAGGCAGCTAGAGCAGCAGCCTGGCTCACACTGGATGCTTCACTCAGTGCACAGACAAGATTACTGTTCTTCATACAGGAGAATGGTTACTCACAGTTCTGAAGCTGCAGAGATGGCTGTGTGATGAATTCTCATGGAGATTTACTGGAAATTTACTGTTCTGTCTTGGCATCGGTTGTACTTGTGGCGAGATTCGTTTAGACCCAGTCTGTCAGAATGTGTGCAGCAAGTTGAATGATCGCCTTAACAGATAGTTTACTCAATGAATAACAACTTCAGAGGTATTTTCCAATGCTTCTTTATGCTTCAAGGTAACAAAGGTGTGAACATAAAGGTGTTTTCATAGGTAAATTTCCAGTGATGTCACATAGCCTCCTCATTCTACAGCATCTTGATAACCACTAAACTAAAATGGAGTTACAACAGGAAATGAAGGTGGAAGCAACCAACTAGTCAGAAACAGCAGGGGTGTGTGGATGATACCAAATAACATTATAACATAACATGTAAATAACAACTTCTAAACAGTAAAGCTGCGTGGCAGCACATATTTATATATGTAATACCATTTTTTTGATCACCAGAGATTATCCAGAATATCATGTTTTGATCAGGGCATTAGTATATAAATATTATTTTTTGGAGCAGTATCTCTGTCTCCAATTATGAGATTCTTGTGGAATCCCTTTGATGGTACCTTGCTCACATTAACACGTGAGCTTGTAGCGTCTATGAGTACCTAACCATAAAATTTGACCCCCCATAATAAGTTTTGTACAATCACCATATATTTGACATTCTTTAACCACAAGCCTACAGGGCACTTATACCCTCTTCCTGCCCAGGCCAATTTCCAGCTTTCAGCGCTGTCGCACTTTGAGTGCGGTCATGCATCACTGTACCCATATGAAATTTTTATCATTTTTTTGTGACAGATAGAGCTTTATTTTGGTGGTAATTAATCACCTCTGGGTTTTTTATTTTTTTCTTAAACAAACCAAAAACCACTAAAAACTTTGAAAAAAAAAGTTTTTTCTTAGTTTTTGTTATAAAATTTTGTAAATAAGTGATTTTTCTCCTTCACTGATGTGTGCTAATGAGGCTGCAGTGATGGGCACTGATAGGCTGCACTGATGGACACTGATAGGTGGCACTGATGAGGAGGCACTGGTAGGTGGCACTGATGGGCATTGACAGGCATCACTGATGGGCACTGAAAGGCAGCACTGATACATGGCACTGATAGGTGGCACTGATAGGCGGCACTGACAGGCACTGATAGGCGGCACTGACAGGCACTGATAGGCGGCACTGATAGGTGGCACTGACTGGCACTGATAGGTGGCACTGACTGGCATTGATAGGTGGCACTGACTGGCACTGATGGGTGACACTGAAAGGCAGCTCATATGGGCACTGATATGTGGCATTGATGTGCAGTGGTAGGCACTGATATGTGGCATTGATGTGGCACTGATGGGCACCGGCACGAGGCACTGATGAGCACTGACACAAGGCACTGATGGACACCGACAGGTGGCACTGCTGGGGCTACACTGATCATCAGGGCACACTGATCATTAGTGCCCTGATGATCAGTGTACATGACCCCTCCGCGGAAAGCCGATTACCGGCTCCACTCTCCTCACAAGCGGTCAGCGTGACAGCTCGAGAGGAGAGAAATGCAGATAACCAGAATTTCCCTGTTTAAATGTGATCAACTGTGATTGGACACAGCTGATCACATGACCAAGCTGACATCTTCGGCTCTTTCCGTGATCGGTGATCCGCTGTGTCCGAGGGACACAGCGCACCGCCGATCGCCATGCTGCGGACTCCCTGAGCCTGAGCCGCACATGCGCGGTGAGAATGGGAGGACGTCATACGACGTCCTCCCAGAACGAGAGAACCACCTTGCGTCCGTCATATTACTACAGTATATGGAGGGCGGGAGGTGGTTAATATGCCTCTTTTTTCTTATAATATAAGTGTTTTTGTGATATATCTCTCCCTGGTGATCTAAGTGGTATTATCGATATTTTGCCCTCCGTTTATATGGCGCTCAGTACGGAGACATCAGACTACAACAAAATGGCGCACGTGGAATGCGCATGCGCCATTTACCCTATTTAAAGCATTGTAAGACATCCAACGCTGTAGGCACACCCCCTACGAATACGCGTGGTTGCACAAAACGCGTCAGTGAGGAGCTACAGCGTCGTGATGTCACGCCGCCAGCACCACGTGAGTCCTGGTGGCCATCTTGGAACACAGTATCTGGTCAGTGTATTTGATCTGTCCCTTGCTTTTGATGTACAGTTGTGTTCAAAATAATAGCAGTGTGTTGAAAAAAGTGAATAAAGCTCAAAATCCTTCTAATAGCTTTTATTTCCATACATACAAATGCATTGGGAACACTACACATTCTATTCGAAATCAAAACATGAAAAAAATCTATCAAGTTTGTGTTGTTCCTCTAAAAAAATTGAAGAAAAGTGAATATTAGAATGTTCAAAAAAATAGCAGTGTTTGTATTTTACAAACTCAAACATTCACTATATAAACTGAAAAATCTTTGAAGATTTTTTGCTTTCCTTTGAATCACTTAATGAATATTTAGTTGTATAAGCACTGTTTCTGAGAATTGCTGTACATCTGTGTTGCATGGAGTCAACCAACTTCTAGCACCTGTGAACAGGTATTCCAGCCCAGGATGATTGGACTACATTCCACAGTTCTTCTCTATTTCTTGGTTTTGCCTCAGAAACTGCATTTTTGATGTCACCCCACAAGTTTTCTATTGGATTAAGATCCAGGGATTGGGCTGGCCACTCCATAACCCCAATCTTGTTGGTCTGGAACCAAGATGTTGCACGTTTACTGGTGATGCAGCATGACCTCTTCAAGTATTCTGATGTATTCAAACTGATCCATGATCCCTGGTATGCGATAAATAGGCCCAACACTGTAGTATGATGCTTGCGCAACCATGCTTCACTGTCTTCACAGTGTACTGTGGCTTGAATTCAGTGTTTGGGGGTCGTCTGACAAACTGTCTCTGGCCACTAGACCTAAAAAGAACAATCTTACTTTCATCAGTCCACAAAATGTTGCGCCATTTCTCTTTAGGCCAGTCAATGTGCTCTTTGGCAAATTTTAACCTCTTCAGCACGTCTTTTTTTCAACAGTGGGACTTTGCGGGGGCTTCCTGCAGATAGCTTGGCTTCACATAGGCATCTTCTAATTGTAACAGTACTCACAGGTAGCTTTAGACCTTCTTTGATCTTCCTGGAGCTGATTGTTGGAGGAGTCCTTGCCATTTTGTCTATTCTTCTATCCATTCGAATGGTAGTTTTTTGCTTTCTTCCACATCTTTCAGGTTTTGGTTGCCATTTTAAAGCATTTGCGATCATTTTAGCTGAGCAGCCTATCATTTTCTGCAGTTCTTTATATGTTTTCCCCTCTCCAATCAACTTTTTAATCAAGGTACGCTGTTCTTCTGAACAATGTCTGGAACGACCCATTTTCCTCAGAATTTCAGAGAGAAATGCACTGTAACCAGCATGTACATTTGCTGCCTTCCTTCCTTAATTAAAGCAATAATTGCCACCTGTTTTTCAAAGAATGAATGACCTCACTAATAGAACTCCACACTGCTATTATTTTGAACATGCTCCTTTCAATTAGTGATTCAATTACACAGAATCAGCAGCATGCATGTCATGACTGTTGGGTCTGTTGGATTTCTATTACTCTACTACATCTACTAGTAAATTATTTGCCATGTAGAAATATCATTTCTACCAATAACAGTGATTGATCAGGTTAGTGATGTCTGACTGCTATTATTTTGAACACAACTGTACCTTTGATGTGTTTTCTTGGAATAAATACCCAAATATTGAAACAATATCACGCTATTGGCCTCCTCTTTCTGGGGCTCCCTGGGAGCTTACACCATTTACAGAGCAATTGAGCCATTGCTAGCAGCAGATGTTGGAAGTGGGGGACACTTGACCAGACCTTAAAGGGACCTCCAGGTTTCTGAGGGTGATACCTCTAAATGCGCTTGATTGCGCATCTGGTGAGAGTGCGCAGTCTTCACTTTCTGGGCCACATCACCACTTTGCTGGATAAAATCACCAAATATTGAAGATCTCCATGATCTCCTATGCACTTTATATTGGACAATATGTTGATTATTGTTTGCAGCACCTTATACACCAGTAGTCACTATTTAGTGATGGGGTGAATCACTATTATTATTATTATTATTATACAGGATTTATATAGCACCAATAGTTTGCTCAGCGCTGTACATTATAATGGGAGACAGTACACGAGACAGTACAGTAACAATACGATTCAATACACGAGGGGTTTGAGGGCCCTGCTCCTTGGAGCTTACAATCTAGGAGGGAGGGGATAGTGGTACAGGAGGAAATAGCTGTGGGGGATGGAGTGGTAGGAAGAGTGGAGGAGTTCAGTAATTAGCTGAGGGCGGGGTAGGCTTCCCTGAAGAGATAGGTTTTCAGGGTGCGCCTAAAGGTGAGGAGAGTAGGTGATAGTCTGATGGATTGGGGTAGGGAGATCCAGAGGATGGGGGAAGCCCTGGAGAAGTCCTGGAGACGGGCATGGGAGGAGGAGACCAGGGAACTAGAGAGTAGAAGGTCTTGTGAGGAGCGGAGAGTACATTTTGGGTGGTATTTGGATACCAGATCGGTGATGTAGTTTGGGGCAGTATTATGAACAGCTTTATACGTCAATGTTAGCATTTTGATTTTTATCCGTTTGGCAATCGGAAGCCAGTGGAGGGATTGGCAGAGGGGGGTGGCGGATACGGAGCGGTTTGTAAGGTGGATGAGTCTGGCCGCAGCATTCAAGATAGACCGAAGCGGGGATAGCCTTCGGTGAGGTAAGCCGATGAGGAGGGAGTTACAGTAGTCAAAGCGTGAAATAATAAGGGAGTGAATGAGTTGCTTAGTGATTTCCGGAGTTAGGAACGGACATATTTTGGAGATGTTGCACAGGTGAAGTCTACATGAGTTTGTCAGCGATTGGACCTGGGGCTGGAAAGACAGATTGGAGTCAAGGATGACACCTAGTACTCTGGCTTGAGGGGTGGGACTGATGGTGGTGTTGTTGGTTTTGATGGAGAAGTCGGGGGGGGGGGGCGCGGGGCTGGGGGGAAAACTAGGAGCTCAGTTTTGGAAAGATTTCGTTTGAGGAAGTGGAGTGACATACAATCCAATATGTCGCACAGTAGGCTTGTGATACGGGCGGAGACTGAAGGGGTGAGGTGAGGGGTAGAGAGATAGATTTGCGTGTCATCAGCATAGAGATGGTAGTTGAAGCTGTGAGAGTGTATCAATTGGCCAAGGGAGGAGGTGTAGATGGAGAAGAGAAGGGGCCTGAGGACAGAACCTTGAGGGACCCCAACAGAGAGGGGGAGTGAAGAGGAGGTGGCAGCATTATAGGTAACACTGAAGGAGAGCTGTGATAGATAGGAAGAGAGCCAGGAGAGAGCAGAGTCTCTGAGACCAAGAGAGTGTAGTCTTTTAAAGAGGAGGGGGTGGTCAACCGTGTCAAAAGCTGCAGAGAGGTCGAGGAGTAGGTGCACTGAATAGTGGCCATTAACTTTGGCGGTTAGCAGGTCGCTGGTGAGTTTGAGTAGGGCAGTTTCTGTGGAGTGTAGGAGGAGGAAGCCAGACTGCAGGGGATCAAGGAGGTTGTTGTCAGTGAGGTGGGAACTCAGGCGATTATAGACTAAGCGCTCTAGGAGTTTGGATGTAAATGGCAGCAGGAAGATGGGTCTAAGGTTGTTCAGGTCGGTGGGGTCCAGGGAGGGTTTTTTAGGTATGGGAGTGATGTGCGCGTGATTAGAGGAGAGGGGAATGTGCCAGAAGAGAGGGAAAGATTATAGATGTGAGTGAGGGAGCATAGGATAGAGGAAGAGGGTGATCATAGGCGTTGAGGGGACAGGGTCAAGGGGGCAGGTGGTGAGGCGGGCTTCAGAGAAGACCTTAGTGCCCTCTTCAGTGGTAGCGAGGTCGAAGGAGTGGAGTGTTGAGGGGGTTTTAGTGTGAGGAATGTTAGGTGGGGTGGGTGTCTGAGCAGTGGCGATGTCCCTACTAATTGCGTCGATCTTGTTTTTGAAGTGGTTAGCAATCTAATTTTATCACTATATTTATTTGCCAGCACTTTACCACTTGTGCCACTAATATTTAATATCTTGCCGTTTCTCATGTGTTATGTGATATTATTACAGCTGTCGAGAGCATTGTTTTATTTATTGAATCACTAAGTCACTTATAACTGTCACTTATTATTGCTTGAATTTATGATTTTTACCAGCTTTATACTTGGAATTATTCATTTGTACATTGGTTTTAGTGCTACACCCTGGTTTTACATTGTGATTTAGGAGGTTTTTGGTACCTTTTTGGTGTTTAGCGGCTTCATCGACTTTTAGTGCTCACTTATCCCTATTTGTGCCTTTTTTAGATACAATTTTCTGCTCTCTTACATGTGTCAGATAAGGGGTGCAACATACCAGGAGAATCGTCTAAAATTGAGCCATCCGAATATGGGCTCCATGTTTAGGTAATTATGTCCTACATGAAGATATCAACTTATATGAAAAAGTTAGTTTTTAAAAGTAAGTCTGTTTTTACAACCCCTTGGAAGGTCTTTTGAAGTTCAGTGAAGGACTTGGTTTACACTTTTATGATATCCCAGATTGCACAGCTACCAGACAGGGGGGCACCTAGCTGGTGAGGTTTTAT